TAGCGGGCCAAGGGGCTCAATGAGCTCCTGGCAATGCGAGGAGCACGTTTACGTGCCCAGCATCGATGAACGCGGGCTGCAACGGCAGTGCACAACACTGCGGGTGCAATGGCGGTGCACAACACTGCGGGCGGCGGCGAAGTTCAGCCATGGTGGAGGTCGGGACTAGCGGCGCAAACAAGAGATGAAGGGTATGGGTTCGATGCGGAGGCTCACAGCAAGGCAAACGGAGAGTTAGTCGGGGTCGGGGAAGCACGGGAGTCGACGAATCGGGCGACGACATCTAGTGGCCGTGGGCAGGGAAGAAGGTCACGGCGTTGTCTTCGAGTCATCCCAGCTTGCGTGGTCGGCGGAGAGCTTCAACGCATCGAGGCGGACCATGGGAACATGGTGGGGCAACGAACTAGTGGTTGTGGCCGTGGCAGGCGGCGATGGTGGTGACGGGCGCGTTCAGTGGTGCTGCGGGAGGGAGCTAGAGGAGAGGGAGAGAGCTCCAGAGTGAGGGGAGAGGCAGAGGGGGTCGAGGCTGTTCCTGTGGCGCGAGGACAGGGCGAGGGAGAAGTAGGAGTTGGAGCTCGATTGTGCGCGTGTCGACACGATGTCGTCCTCCTGGCAGAAGCTAGGACATGACTGGCAGGGGAGGTGGGCTACACAGTAACGGGCCGGCTAGGTGGGTTGTAGGTAAGTTCGTTCTCTCTTTTTACTTTTTTCCATTTAGTTTCTGTTTTCTATTGTTGGCCTCTGTTTTGAACTTGGTTTGCTAACCAAATTATTTTGTTGCTTCTAAAAAATATTGTGGGAACTAAAAGAATTAAACCAAAGCCCCAGAAAATGATTCAGAATTATTGGACATATACTTATTTAATAGTAGATATAAATCCAATTCAAATAACTATTGATTTAATTCAAAGGCCCGAAATAAGTGTTTCTGAGATACCAAAAATATTGGTTTGAATTTTATCCCTTGTCAATATTTTGAGAGGATAACAGGAACATTTTCTTGGACTTATTTGAAGCAGTTTTATCTTGGTCATTTTAAAAAGATTTTGAGACTCTTAAAATTCCTTAATTCAAATTTCATTTGAATTTAACAAGATGCATGCTCACTGATGCAACTATTACACTCAGATATTCTAGGGCTGTGACAACTCACCCCCACTAAACAAGAATCTCGTCCCGAGATTCAAGACGTGAGGTAAGAAGACAGAGGGGGCATGGAACTGGCACAGTCTTCATGACCCATTGCATTTCTCGAGGACGTTAATACATTCCATCGTGTTGATCTTGACGTCTTTGCCTTCGAAAACTTTACCCAACACGATGAGGATAGAAGGAACTCTACAGGATTTGATCTTCTCGAAGATCAAACAACTCATGATCAACTCATGGAATGAGACGTAAGAACATCTCCTGAGCTGAGACACAAAACACACATCAAGAACGAGGAAAGGAAGAAGATGACGAAGGTTCAATTTGATAGGCAACAACTCCACGCTTGGGCAAGATGGTGCACGGTCTCAACGTAGCGACGAGTTACTGCCATGATTCCATAACAGGGCACCTTAGGGAAGGTAGCTCATAGGAATATTCCCTTGAGTTGCAAAAAGAATTACTTTTGATACATAGATCATTGAAACTCTCTATACCATCCTGAGGAAAATCACAATCGATCGTTTGAAGGAGTTGGGAAGAATGGCATACTCTGACTTGAATGGATGATGTGGGCTATCTTGTTGAAGACAACACAATGGATGATTTCTTTTCTTTTGCTTAACAACGGAAATGGATGGGACCCATGGCAAGCCCACTTTTGAAGATGATCATGAACATCAATTAGTGAGAAGAGCAGACCATGGTAAAATGGCACAATGGCGGGTGCAAGCTGGGAACAAAATGCAAATGCTGGGAATGTAGAGAGTGATTCCACTATTTGAATGGTTATAGCATAATCGAAGGAAGTGAGAGCACATTCCAATTAATGTCGACGTTAAACCTAGTGTCTGCGCATGCTCTCAAGAACTTGAGCATTTCCATCATCAGGGTTTGCCAACATATGTGCCAAGATCTTGGTGACACCTCGTACTACCATGATGAATAAGGGTGGAGGATGCAGATGCAAAGGAAGACAACACCTTCTCAGATTTCACCTTAGATATGCCAAGGAACAAAACCTGGATGATCGACCAAGGGACATTTAACACTCTACTTCTAATGTTCTCCTTGATGTTCTAATTACCACGGTCATGCTTAATAACATGAACATTGCCATCAGGTGAAGGTCGGACTTCAGGAGCGCAAAGAACCCATAAGGAACAACTTGTAGAGTACGTCATACCAACCCTTCATAGAAAAATGGCCAAATTGCCGACTCAAGATACTACAATAATAGATCTTCCATCTAGATGTGTCTGCCGACATCAACCTTGTCGGAACCTACACCATAGATCTTGGGAGAATTCCAACCATCATATATGTCTGAGATTCAGATCTGGTTGGTAACCGGATATTTCAGACAGCATGTCTGAAAAGGAAAGGTTGCAACACAAATCGACGAGATGATGTTGCGAGATTCTCGGGAAATGGACTATGGTAGTAAGCTCCAAAACATGAGCGGGTTCTGCTACACACATATGAACACGCTGTCCCAGACAAGCATGACCACATAGTAGTCTTATAATAAAACACCACCAAGTTCAGGTGGGGAATCATCATCGAGGATATCGAAGTTCGGGCATGTACCTTTGGGTCCTTAAGGATTAGCACTTAAGAACTTTTTTTCCTTGAACAAATCAACCAGTGGCTTTATGTGCTAGGGAATACATGTGGAATGAAGGTTGCAAATCTACCAAGCCATAAATACTTCGCACGTGCATGACTGACTTGGGACGGCTCTAGAGGAAGCAAAATCAAACTCTCTCGAATTCACGGAAGCTCAAGACCAACACCGGCTGCACACCTGGAGGGTGACGGTCCGGGCCAGCGTCACCCTTGATCAGAGTTAGGCCCCCTTCGCCTTTGTTCACCGAATCAGGACCGACTACCTAGTCACGTTCAAATTGTTGACTCACAGCACCCTGAAGGTGATCGTCTTCAACGATGACAACATTATGGTGGTGACGGAGTGCAAGAAGCACGATGATGCCTTTGCAATGAATGCCTAGAAAGTTCTCTCTTGCCTGGATTTGCTTTTGTTTAGCGACGAGCGATTTGTTTAAGATTGTTTATTTATGTCATGTTGCTTGTTTAAGATTGGTTGTTACGATTGGTGTCATCATGTTATGCTATTTACGTCATCCTTGTCAGTGTGCTCGTAACCTCACCATCTCAATTAAGATACTGGAATTGGATTAGTCAATCGATTCATAACTGCCTTTCAAGCACAACCAATATATATTAGAACCCCCTTTACTTGCCGAAGCACTTCTTGGATCTGTCAATTATGCTATGGTCGGAGTCCTACTCATAGTGATCTGGTCGAATTGGGAGAAGCCGTAGGTATTATTGCAGGTCAATCAATTGGGGAGCCAGGGACTCAACTAACATTAAGAACTTTTCATACTGGCGGAGTATTCTCAGGGGTACTGCCAACCTTGTATGATCCCCTTCGAATGGAAAAATCAAATTCAATGAGAATTTGGTTCACCCCACACGTACCCGTCATGGACAGCCTGCTTTTCTATGTTATATAGACTTGCATGTAACTATTCAGAGTCAAGATATTCTACCAGACAACATGCATTGCATCTAACCAAACAACCTGACTTGCATTTCTGCCTAAACAAGCCCATGACCAAATGCAAGCAACCAAACGATGTGTAGATGATGGTTTTTTAGGTTGCATTTGCTCAACCCGACTCAACTAAGACAAGTATGCAAAGTGACAAAAAACGATGTAGGCAACCAAACATGCCCTTAAAATCAGCGTAGGCCCAATGGAAAGGTAAAGTTCCTTGCCTATGAATCAAATGACATCTATTTTCCTATACGAATTGAGATAAATGTCATCTCACTTTTTATAGTTTTCCTATTCCATGGTATTCCTATCCTATGAATAAAATGACATCTATTTTCCTATAGGAATTGAGATGCATGTTATCTTACTTTCTATAGTTTTCCTAGAGATTTAATGTAGCAATCAAAAAATAAAGACCCAAAACTGATTGAAAAAAAAATGGATACGAATAAGTTGCATCCATTTGAGATCCAGGAATGTGGCAAGATTGTACAAATTCAGTTCCAACAAGAAAAGGAATAACCAAGAGCAAGCCAAATTTGTTGCATCCCAAAAAGAATTGCTTCCAGTTGCTCAAGGTGCTATTATAATACAGCTTGCAAGGAAAACACTGACAATATGGTAGTGAGCTAATGGTTCCTTTTATTTAGAATGTGTCCTCTTATTACAGATTAACTTTGTATAACATTCCTCATTTAGCTCACGTTACATTCTTCAGGAAGGTGACTAGATAGAAATTCTTGCAGCGCATCGGATTATTTGCCATATCAATCACCATGACAATGCCAAGAATGATAGGAACAACGCAGCAAAGCGCACCTTTGCTTCTAGTTGCAACGAAAACTGGGCCAAGAAAAGCATCAATCAGGTGAACCTTGACATTCTTCTCAATCGATTGAGGCCATGCCACAGCTAGCACGTGCAAATGAACATCTTTGCGCAAACCATCTTGTCAGAATGTAGTTCAGCCAAACATGAACAGGATACCGCAATTTCAGCAAATTAGTCTAGTCGCATCAAGTCTCACCAAACATGGTAGATATAGCAAACATTCTAATGGTGAAAAAGAGCAGGTCTTTTGCTTGTGGCCAGATTTGAACAAGAAAACACGAATCCAGCCAGCATTTATGAGCACCAGAAAAACATAGCCCAGAAACTTCTCAAGTGCATAATTAAACAGAGGTAGTGATGACAACAGTATGAGCACTAGAACCAAGACCGACTTCCATTGCCCCCAACAATGCACAGACTGTTATTTTCATTCACCTCACTGTCCGTCTCCAGATTCTTTTGGAGCTGGGGCTTCCTTAATCTCATCAACGTCATCCTCCTGCAAAGTTGGATAAAAAACACCGGTTGGCATGAGAAATATGAAGACAGAAAGGAAAGCTGTTAAAACAGATCCAAGGAAACTCACATTGGTGTCGGATGTCCATAGAGTCAAATTGTCACGCAGGAGCTGCATGATTAAAGTGCTGTCCTTGTAGGATTCCTCGCCTAAACTGTCCAGCTCTGATATAGCCTCGTCAAAGGCCTGTAATATCCAGGAAAGTTCGTTTGAGCAAATTCATATCACAGGCATATCAAAAGCAGAACTGAAACAGTATTAAATTACATGGACAAGTATAATTATCGCATTTTAAGTCTATATATTTCTGACAGGCCATGTGATTCTTAGTCTACATTCTTATTGAGAAACCACTACAAGTTCCGCGGTTCACACTATCATGGTAGACATTAGGATAAATCACTTTACCTACAACATCAAAATATAATGCAGCAGAGCATGAGACTAATTACATGGACAAGTATAATTTATGTACTTTAAATCTATGTTTCTGACAGGCCATGCAAATCTTAGTCTACATGCACACTGAGAAACCACTAAAAGTTTCACAGTTCACTCAATATCATGGTAGATATAGGGATAAATCACTTTACCTAAAACATCAAGATATAATTCAGCAGACTATGAGGGACCAAAGGAACAACAAGTGCATATCACATATTTAATGCAAAGTAGACAGCACAGATTTTTTTTAAATGATCAAATAATCGACTATATAGAATACCAGAGATTATAAGAAAGTTCTTCAACACTACTTCCTAAAGATGACATACTTCTAATACTAATAACTTGAAGTACATATATGCATGCAGCACAAGCACGAACAGAAATGTTGCCAGCAGACAAACAACTCCTCACAAATACTATATTGACAATGTTAAAGAGTGCTTGCAAGATATGCCAGGGGATGCAGGTAGTGCAGTTTAGTGGTCATCACAAAACATAATTCCATAATAGCATGCTAGTATGTATTCCTTATATCATGTACCTTAAGATTGAGCAGTTCAGAAGTTAGAATAAAAAATGAACAAAATCCTAGCATAGTAACTTCCATGGTGATGACAAATTGGAAAAAATTGTGGGAGTTTTACGAAAGCTTTATCAACTTTCCCCACACAAGCATAGATGCTAGAAGTTGGATTGATTTCCTGCAGCTTCATTTTCTAAGGGGGTTGCCGCAGAACCTATCAACAAACATGTTAGCTCGCAATCTGCCTCTAGTAAATCAGAGAAGAGGTAGTACACTGCCCCAGTTGGCCATGGATATAATCACGACAACTGACACCGACTGGAATCAAACACTGGGTTGACAATCATGATAACTGAAACAAATGGAGAAGAAAGGAGAAGCAGCAAACTTGTTTTGCAAGGTTGCAGGCACGGTCAGGGGAGTTCAAGATCTCATAGTAGAACACAGAAAAGTTGAGTGCAAGCCCAAGCCTGATGGGGTGTGTTGGAGCCAAATCTACTAGGGCGATATCCTGCAAGCAATTCGCAAAACTCAGCCTGAAGGATCTACTGGTCATATCTATATGTACACATAAAAATTGCCTTATCAGTAACCTGAGCAGCTTTGTACGCGTTCATGGTGCTCTCGGCGGCTTCCTTCCTCTCCCCACCAGACTTAAACTCTGCAAGGTACCTGCATAAATATCACAAAGGAGAAATCAGATGTCGATCGCGGGGCAACAGAAGCTCATGTCTCCCAGTCACCGCATTGTGTGATCATATACAAATCACATATTAAACTGAAACCAATAGAATGGCCACCTTGAAAATTATAAGCTAACGACTACCTCCGCTAGCACTAACAAATATCACAATCATTTGTTTTTACTTTCCATCACCATTGAGAAAATAAACTATGATTCCATATACAAATACCACAAGTTAACTTACCAACAGACAACCAGAAATTAAACTCGCATCCGCATCATCTCATACAAGAGATTTAGTAAACCTATATATACATAAATCATACAGAAAAGCCACAACTCAAATCCTGGCCTACACAGCACCAAACCCTCATAAATTTCTAAACTACTGCAGAAAATAAATCAAAGAACTATATCATATCACATCCCGTTACTCCATTCTTCCTTCCATCAAAAGAAGGGCGCCGGCACATCTAAGTGAGTGAATCAAGCATAAAAAGAAAAAGAAAATATTCACACGAATCTCAATGTAAGATCAATGACATATGACTTAGATGTGCAATACTTATGGCATATCTAGATGTGCTTTAGCAAAACTGTTGAAATATCTGTGTCGCAAATAAGGAGGCGAGAACTACCTGTGGTAGTCGCCCTTCATCTTGAGATAGAAGACTTTGGACTCGGCAGCTCCGGCGGATGGCACGAGGTGGGAATCAAGCAGGGCGAGGATGCCGTCACAGATCTTTGCGAGCTCGGCCTCGATCTTGCTGCGGTAGGAGCGGATGGTAGCGGCGTGCGCGTCGTTGCCCCGACCTTCCTCCTTCTGCTCGATGGAGGAGATGATCCTCCAGGACGCGCGCCGGGCCCCGATGACATTCTTGTAAGCCACAGAGAGCAGGTTGCGCTCCTCGACGGATAGCTCCTCCCCGGGCCCTGCCCCGCCGGTGGCCTTCGCGACGCGCTCCATGAACTCCACCATCTCCTCGTAGCGCTCGGCCTGCTCCGCAAGCTTGGCCATGTAGACGCTCTCGTCTCGCGTCTGCTCCGCCGGCGACATGGTTGCTCGCTCGCTTGTGCAAGGGCGTGTGGCAACGGAGTTGGGGGGTGGAGCAGCGGATCCGGGGGCGTAGGAGGCAATACGCGTTTGTGAGGAGGTGCGGGGTGGAGCGGGGTGGGGATGGGCCGATGGGGATTTGAGGAGGTACCCGGGGCGGGGCGGGCGAGTCACCGGAGAGCCACGTAGCGGTCAAAGGGGAGCGCCCGCGCGGAGCGGTCTGCCTGGGAGGGCGTGAGTATCTTCAGCAGCGGGCTAAAATCACTGTTCTGACCTTATCAATAATCTTTGTCGCAAATTAAACTTGACATGAAAATATTTCATGATCTGATCTTTTTAGCAGCGCCACAATTCGTGACGTTTCTGTCCAACTTAAAAACGCCGAGCTAGCCAGCGTTGCTGCTCGCTGACGTGGCATGTTGGAAACGCCGAGCCAGATTACGTTTCTAGAAACGCCAGGGGCTTTGGCGTTTATGACACGCTATGAAACACCAAGAGCTATGGCGTTTCTGCCCTAATCAATGATTTTGGTTGAATGGACATACCATATGCAGTGCTGCTAGACTAAATCAGAGTTCCTATGTACAAGTCAATTCGATGAGACAATGCTAGCAGCGAGCAGCAAGGGCCACGACTCCCTGACATGCAGTAATTTTTTGCCACGAGCCTCAGATTATTTATGTAAAGCCCTATGTGGCCCCTCCTATATCTCTTTTCCGAACAACATTTTTGTGAAATGGAGTACATGCATCGCTCACATAAGATCCCACTAAGTAATAAAAAGTAGGAAACCTTTTTTACTTTGCACCTGCTGCTTCAGACAAGCATGCACTCTAGCGGTCAGCCACCCCTTGTTTTTTTTCTTTTGATAGCAGCCCGACATGTCAATTCGGATGACTGGGCGGTTATAGCCGAGCTGGATTCTCCCCTACGATGGAACAGTGGGATGCTAGGCTAGACTCGTTTGAAAAATTTTGGAAGTAAAAAAGAGAACTAGGAGCATCTGGCAGAACCGCCAGCCGCTGCCGTATTCCGACGTGACGCTGCCACACGACTGGCATCTGGATCCAGATAGGATCCCAGTGCCGCCGGCGCCGTGGTCGGTTCGTGCTCACGCAGAGGAGGTGCGGCGCCGGCGGGCGCTGCTGACGGCGGAGCAGCGTCGCGACAACGCCTACGCAACCGACTTGTCCAACTAGGCAAAGTGGTTCACCTTCGAGCACGAGGAGGCGAGGCGCCGGGGCGTGCGCGAGGTCGACCGGAGGCCAACGCCGCTGGTCGTCCGCGAGGAGGAGCAGGCGGCGGAGGACGCCTACCAGGCGGCCCTTGCAGCCGTCTACCGTGAGAGCGAAGAGGACGAACGGTGCAGAGCGGAGGCGGCGGAGGCGGAAGAGGAGGCCCGCTACGAGGTGACAATGGCGCAGGCCCTTGCTGTAACGCCCTCGATGCGGCTATAGCTCCCACGTGTCGAGGCACGACTTAAAGACATAACCGCATTGAAAGCAATGTCGCAAGTTAGGCAATCATCACAACATCCCATGTAATACAAATAATAAAGGGGAAGTACATAGTTGGCTTACACTCGCCACGTCAATCAAGTACATAAATAGCATTACAACATCCAAACACTCATGGCCCGACTACGACGCCAAAATAAAAGATAACCCAACATGCGACACGGTCCCGATCACTCCCAACTGGGCACCACTACTGATCATCAGGGGAAGACACGTAGTATCGTTGAGAGTCCTCGTCGAACTCCCACTTAAGCTCAAGCGCGTCACCTGGAGCGGAAACATCAGGCCCTGCATCTGGTTTGGAAGTAATCTGTGAGCCACAGGGACCCAGCAATCTCACACCCTCGCGATCAAGACTATTTAAGCTTATAGGTAAGGCAAGGAAAAATATGTGGAGCTGCAGCAAGCGACTATCATATATGGTGGCTATCCTGTTCGCAAAAGAGAGCGAGAAGAGGAGGAAAAGCGCGAACGAGTAACTAGAGGGCATCCTGCGGCAAGCATTACTCCAACACCGTGTTCACTTCCCGGACTCAGCCGAGAAGAGACCATCACGGTAACTCACACTGTTGATTCATTTTATTTAAGTTAAGGTTCAAGTTATCTACAACCGGACATTAACAAATTCCCATCTGCCCATAACCGCGGGCACGACTTTCGAAAGTTCAAATCCCTGCAGGGGAGTCCCAACTTAGCCCATGACAAGCTCTCACGGTCAACGAAGGAATAGACCTCCTCCCGAGACGTTCCGATCAGACTCGGTATCTCGGTTCTTCAAGACACTTCGACAGGTTAAAACAAATCCAGCAACACCGCCCGAATGTGCCGAAAAATCCCGATAGGAGCTGCACATATCTCGTTCTCAGGGCACACTCAGATGAACACTACGTACAACTAAAACCAACCCTAGAGTTGCCCCGAGGTGGCGCTGCAAGTGGCTCTATTTGGACCAACACTCAGAGGAGCACTGGCCCGGGGGGGTTTAAAATAAGATGACCCTCGGGCTCCGGAAACCCAAGGGAAAAAAGGCTAGGTGGCAAATGGTAAAACCAAGGTTGGGCATTGCTGGAAAAGCTTTAATCAAGGCGAACTATCAAGGGGTTCCCATTATAACCCAACCGCGTAAGGAACGCAAAATCCGAGAACATAACACTGATATGACGGAAACTAGGGCGGCAAGAGTGGAACAAAACACTAGGCGAGAGGCCGAGCCTTCCACGCTTTACCAAGTATATAGATGCATTAAGATAACAAGGCAATATAATGATATCCCAACAAGTAAATAATGTTCCAACAAGGAACGGTCTCCAATCTTCACCTGCAACTAGCAACGCTATAAAAGGGGCTGAGCAAAGCGGTAACATAGCCAAATAACGGTTTGCTAGGACATGGTGGGTTAGAGGTTTGACATGGCAATTTGGGAGGCATGATAAGCAAGTGGTAGGCATCGTAGCATAGGCATAGCAAAAGAGCGAGCATCTAGCAAAGCAAAGATAGTAGTGATTTCGAGGGTATGATCATCTTGCCTGCAAAGTTGTCAGAGTTGACTGGATCCTCGAAAGCAAACTCAACGGGCTCCTCGTTAGCGAACTCGTCTCCTGGCTCTACCCAAACAAGACAAACAAGCAAACGGAAAACAATCAACCACGCGTAAAGCTCAAACAATATGATGCAAGGATGGTATGCTATGCGGGATGCGATGCGGGATGCATATGCAAGATGTGACAAGGAATGCATGAATCTGGCCTCAACTTGGAAATCCAAGTGTGCCACTGGAAAGATGAGATGAAATCGCTTGAAAACGATATAAAGAACGCCGGAATCGGAGTTACGATTTGGAAATGGCAAGCAATTTAAATATGACCATGTTCTGCGATTTACAGCAAGTAGCCATCTAAAAGCAACAAGATGAACATGCTACAGCACCTAAATATGGCATCAAGATACATGGCAGGGATCCATTCATGAAGCTTAACAAAAGTCTGGCACTGAGCTACGGCCATATCATCCATTAACAGGTTCAAACAAGCATGGAAAAAATGCATTTGACAAATAGATTTCAGACTTAGTGAAATTAACACTTGTCTGGAATTTCAGATCAGATAGCACTCTTCGGAGCATGAAAACTATATGTTACAGGACCTGAACATGGCAAAGTAAAGCATGGCATGGAGCTACTCAAAGAGCTTAACAAAAGTCCCTTAGTGACCTTGAGCCATAAGGGAGCATAAAATACATTTGCAAGCATGTGAACATGGCAAAAACATAATCAGATCACAGACTTAGTGAAAACTGGAGCATGCTGAAAACAGATATCAAGTAGGCATGTTTACGAGCTCGATGCACTCACTACATAGCATGTTATGACAATCTAAGCATACACCCATTAAGAATACACAAAATGCAAGCTAGACATGGCAAGAACAATAGCATAGCATGCACGGATCAACTACAACATCCTTGACAAAATCGCTAACAAGTAGACAATCTGCCCAGATTCACGAAATGACAAAAGTAGAGCTCGATTGACTCAAGCTAGGGGGCTCCATAATTGCAAACAAAGACATGGATGGATAGAGCACTACAATATTAACAAAACATCCTTACTGATCATCTTCAAAAGAGGCACGGATCACTAGGAAACAACATGAACATATGGCCATATGAGATAAACAGCTCAAGGACTTAGTGGAAATGCTAATTCCCTGAAATCAGCATTAACAAATGCCTCACTTTACAAGTTTGTGCTAGTCACCACACACATCACAAAAATACATGGGTTGCATCTCTGGAAAGATGACAAAACCCTTAACAAAACATATGTAGAGCTCAAAGACATATCATGCACACAATAATCATGGCAAAAATGACAAATATCTAAATGGAGCAGCAAATCTGAGAATTATCTCAAGTAGCACTCTTCCACCAGCATTTCGGGCATCAAGATGAACTCAAATGAAAATGATGCAATGAGATGAAATGATTACTCTCTGAGATGAACATTTTGATATGCTATATGCCCAAAACGGAGTTACGGATGAGGAGTTATATCACGATGAACAGGAGCAAATAAACTAGGGTTTCAGGAGCAAATAAACTAGAGTTATAGCACGATCCTAAACGCGGGACAGGTGGCGGGCCCGGATTCGCCCGGGGCGGCGGCGCTATTCTGTCCGGCCGGGGACGGACGTGTCCGGCGCGGCGAAGGGCAATTTTTAGGGTTTGGGAGAGGGGATCCGCGAATTTAGAGGAGGGGGTCTTTATATAGGCATAGAGGGAGCTAGGAGAGTCCAAATGCGGTGCGGTTTGCTGCCACGCGATCGTGATCGAACGCTCTAGATGATGGAGAGGGTTTAGGTGGGTTTTGGGCCAAAATGGAGGGGTGTTGGGCTGCAACACACACGAGGCCTTTTCGGTCCCTCGGTTAACCGTTGGAGCATCAAACGAAGTCCAAATGATACGAAACTTGACAGGCGGTCTACCGGT